ATGAGACTTTTGGGAGCAGAAACGGTCAGAGAAATGCTGCCTGAGTGCATTGTGAATTTCTCTAAGTTGTGCGATTCACTAAGATTTTCCAGGTTTTTGTTTTTGTTTTTTTTTTGGGGGGGGGGGGTCTCACCAGTCCAAAAAGACAATTCTGTATTATATGTGTGCTCATTTTTCACATTAATGCAGTGCCTTCAGTGTATGAAGGAGCTCACCAGTCCTCCTGATTGTCTGAAACGACTCGCTTCTTATTTCTCATTGTGATTTCTGTGGATTTCCATCTTTTTCTAAGCTTTAATCCCAAATTTCTCGTTTCATAAAAACTGCCGTGCAGCAGTTTGGCCAAGTCCAACGTCAGTGGCTTCTTCTTTCTGACGAAAAATGTTGGTCATTTTAAATAAATAACTGAATAAACGAATGTGTGGAAATAGAATCACGTCTGGTAGGAATTACGCTCAAGTCGATGCAAATCCTCTGCAAACATTCCCGTTGTTGTGTTGTTTGTAATGTCTGAGAGACGCAAATGTTCAGTGACATTTATATATTCTAAATTTTATTTGTATTTAAAAGTAGATATTATGACAAGACAAGCTAACGAGTGCTGTGATGTTCTGTATGTTTTCAAAAAGTACTTATGACTAGTCTGAGGATATTCTCACGTCTAATTATTGTGCTGCGTGGCGACGATGATTACTTTACAAAACGTTTGATTATTAGCTGTGTAGAAATATGCTCAAAGCCAATGGCCATATTGATGTATGACGATTTGTGTGTGTGTGTGTGCGCGTGCGTGCGTGTATATGTGTGTTTTACGTATATTTTTGCAATGTTTGTACTAGCTCGTCGTCGTGGATATCTTGGAGGGACATTATTTTTCTAAGATGAATCGTATGTTGTTTGTGCGGAGAAAAAAAATTTGAGGTCATTTCTGAATGGGCGGGGCAGACAGAGACACAGGAGGTTAAAGAGAGAGAGAAGACTGATGGAGACGAGGGTGAGAGTGGAGGGTTGAGAAGAAGACTGATGATGGAGAAAGAAAGTAGGCACAGCAGACTGGAAAAGAAGGTGCATAGAGGTGGTGTTTTATTCACTTGAAAAGCCTCCGTCTGACGTAGGCCTGTTTCACTCAGCAGGCTTAAATTTCATGGGAGTTTAGGCCACTGAATAGTGCTAGCAATATAATATATTAAGTAGGCATGGTAACACATGAAACTGTTGACAAATAACTCCTAAAGATATGAGGCATATATTTAGCTATATATGAGTATTAGTGTGGCAAAGCATTTATTCTCTATATTTTAACGTCTCACATCTGTCAAACCCTGCTGGATGTTTTATAATACCTGCAAAACAGAAATGGTCTTTCTATTTATTACTTGTATTTTTTCTATTGTGAAAATTTAAGTACATTGTCTATTTTATATATTAATTATAATAAATGTTGTACATATTGTACATAAAACTGTGGTCTCGGTTGCTTTGTTTTTTGGAACGTGTGCGGTCCATGAGAGGAAGTGGATCTGCAGGATGTGTTGCACAACTTATTGGTCTGGATGCAAAGATAAAGTCGAGTTACGTGTGTGAGTGGTTAGCAGAACCGTGGGGAAATGAACTTAGCCTCCAGTTTTTGATGTATTTATAGCAATTTACTCTTATAGGACAACTCATTAGGTATACTTTACTACTACCAGGTTGGACTGCCTTTTGCCTTCAGATCTGCTTTCATTCTTCATGACTGATTCAAAAAGGTCCTGGAAACATTCCTTGCAGATTTTGGTCCATATTGACACAACAGCATCACACAGTTGCTACTGTTTTGTTTGTTTTTTTGTTGTTGTTGTTTTTGACTGCACGTCCATCCTGTTCCATCACATCCCAGAGATCCTCTATTGGATTGAGATCTGGTGACTGGAGGTTATTTGAGTACTTCTCAAGTTAAAAAATCAGTTTCAGATGATTTAAGCTTTGTGATACTGTGCATTATCATGCTGGAAGCAGTCATCAGAAGATGGGTACACTGTGAGTGATCCACTGATACAAGGTGGGATGAATCCATGCTTTCATGTTGTTTACCTGATGTGGTCTTCTGTTGCTGTAGCCCATCTGGTTTGCATTGTACTTTCAGAGATGCTCTTCTGCATGCCTTGCCATGTAACAAGTGATTATTTGAGCTACAGTTGTCTTCCTATCAGCTCAACAGAGTCTGGCCATTCTCTGACCTCTGTCACCAAAGTCCAGAGAAGTGCTGCTCACTGAATACTTTCTCTTTTTAGACCATTTTCTATAAACCCTAGAGGTGACTGTGTGGGGAAATCCCAGCAGATCAGCAGTTTCTAAAATACTCAGACCTGCCCATCTGGCACCAACAAACATGCAACATTTAAGGTCACTTAAATCGCCTTTCTTCTCCATCCTGGTGCTCAGTTTGAACTTCAGCATGTCATCTTGATCATGAATTACTACCATCTGATTTGCTGATTAGATATTTGCGTCAATAGGCAGTTGAACAGGTGTACCTAATGAAGTGGCTGTTGAATGTATATTCTGAGTCAGTGTCTTGATAAACCTTAAATATATAGTCTCTATAGAGAAAAGTGCTTATGTTATTTCAGCTCTTCTGATAAATCCCTGACTGACTCGCAGGGCTATTTCTCCTGGTGTTTGGAGGCTGTTTTTAATATAAATGACATCTAGTACTCCGTGGTAAGTGTGGAGATGTTTTCTATCAGTCTGCTGGCTTACTTGTGTTTCCTAGAGTCTCTAGAAATATAATGGGAGGCAGAGCTTTCAGGATCCTGTCCATGTACGAAATATCTTCCAGTTTAGGTCAAAGACCACAAGACCTTGTCTACCTCTGAGGTAAGGTGGAAAAGTTTTCTTTATGACAATGATGATGGTTAGAGTGGATCATGTGACCCAGTGTCGTCCCTTAGTTATGCAGCTGCACATAGATAAAGCTTATTCTTTGCACTTATCACTCCAAATATATTTTTATGCAATTACTACATAAGGGGAGGGAGTAGCATACAAAGGTGGATCATCGGGTAGGTGGCGTTCTCTGATATTGTAAAGTCTTAATTGTTACAGGAAGCAGTGATCTAAAAAGAAAAGTGAATTGAAGCTGGAGGTCATCTATGTGTAATATATGTTTGTTGCCAAAGACCATTTACTTTGTTGTCCTAGCTCATTTTATTTTAAGACAATTAGCATCGCAGGGCAAATAGCTTCCTTTCTAGCAGATGACTAGTTAGCACATTAACTAGTTTTAACGTGTTAATCTCCAAAAACACAATTTCATAACATGCAACTCATTAACATTTTCATTAACCCTTCCTTGGCAACATATTTGACACATACATGTCATTTTAATGCACATTAGAGGAAAATAATGTGAATTAGACAAAAAAACAACAGTAAATATCTTTATTTGTCTTCACGGTTTTCCATCTAACGTGACACAGAAGCATTGTGAGCAGCATTATACAAAGAACTAGAAACAAAAAAAACATATTGAAACAAAAGTTGTAAAAAAAAAAAAATAGGCCTTTGTTTCTCCTGTGATCAATCTATACAGTATATATGATTATTTAGACATACATTTACTCCTGTAGATAGCACTTAATATTTTCATGTACTTTATGTGCAACATTAGTCTACAACAAACATTTTTTTCCCCACATAAGAACAACTCACACTGCAGCAAACAGCATGGCTGCAGACAAAGATGAGGAGTACAAGGGTGAATTATGACACAGAGTGCAAATCAGCATACTGTCTGCTTTGCTTTTAAACTGAGAGTTAATTTAATGCCACGCAAGCAACCTGTCAGTAGGAGCTGCAGTGCGACCTCAGTTTCATCATCGCTAAAAATAACCCCGTTTTTAAAGTGTCTATAAATAAGAGGCTGCTCCTGCACGCACACGTGGCTTCTCTCCTATTTAGAACTAATAATGTCTCAGGCAGAAGCACAAAATAAAATTTGCCCCTGCAAAAGAAGGGAAAAAAACGTAAGCACTGTCTGAACATGGGACACATTTCTGCTTTCCAATGAAAATAGAAGACAGTCCTAAGAAGACATTAAAAAAGTGACAAACATTTTCTTGGTGCATTTAAAATTTTTAAATATGCTTCAAGCTCTGACTGTATGTTTATGACCTACAACTGGCTCCAAACGCGCTCCCTGTGGCCCCCTGGTGTTGAGACAGAGCTACAGCAAAGCAGTGAAAGTAGAACTAAAAAAATGTTGGCAGGTTCTTGTGAGTCATTCAGATGACTCAAGAATTCCAGTTACAAATAAATAAAAATAAAAAAAACAGCTTAGACTGCGGTAAACTTACACCAAAAAATTAAAAAAAGACTGACTGGAAGAATAAAAGCGAATCCAACTCAAAGAAACTCAGTAATGTCAACAACAACAACAACAATGTTTACGACCTACGACCCACATGTGGTCAAGCTGAAGAAAGATAAACTAATCACAATACTGATATCTGATGAGATAAGAGTTGTAGGTTGGCTCAATAATGCTTCAGCTGGAGGCATGATGTCCATAAAGGTTGTGACAGCACTCAGAATGATGTACTGTCATTTAACAGCTGTGTAGGCACACGCTAAAATGTTTTATTAAATCCCTGCAAAAATAACTGCCACACAGGCAGCTGCCCACACACTCCTTGCCTTAGTTGCCAGATCTTTTTTATCAAATTCAAACTTATCCTGTTTTCAAAAATCAAAGCACAACACCTAACTAAGAGTAGAATTGAAACTTCTGTTCGCCTCTGAACGTGAACTACAGCACGCCCAGCTTCGACAAAGCTCCAGTAACGAGAAAAGGCATCTAAAGTTAGCTTTAGCCTAAATTCCTCTTCTGTTTTCTCCTCATTTAACCTACATTGTGGCCTGGAGAGGTCTTACTATCAGAGTGAAACACAAGCTTTAATCCCGGCCATTCAAATAACGCTCCAATTACACAAGTGTAATCCCGACCGGCTCTCCTGCCCCGGCCGCAGATGCACTCTGTAATCTATGAGCTGCTCTGCCTCCCCCTCTGCAATATCAATAACAACATTGATCCATGTGTTGTGTTTACTAACTCCTGTTTTTGACATGCTTTCCCTTTAAATGCATCACCAACTGCTGCCCAGGGTCTCTCACCCCCATACGAAGACCTCCACAACACTGAAAACTGCTTTAAAGCGCTTTGACCAACCAGTCAATGTCTTGACTAAATATTCTTTCAAGTTTATGAATCATGTCCAAAGAAGAAACCTTGGTAAACACTGCCAAAGATCAGAATGTGAATCTGAACAAATAAATAGCAACACCTATAAAGTTTACAGCTCCGCTGCTAAACACAAGGAAGGAGAAACAGGACTGTGCATAAAAAAGAGAGAGGGAGAAAAAAAAGAAATTCAGTTTTTGTTCCAAAGCTATGAGTCATTATCTGAAAGTATGACTCACAACTCAACCGTGTTCCCACTTGTGACCCTTGGGAAAGGCGGCCCCTGCATTTTTTGATCAGTCGCAAAACAGGGGAAACAAAAGCAAACAAGCAACTACTGATTTGTACACTGAGGGGGATCGGCTGCAGAGAGCAGAGTACCATCAGCTGTTTTGACATCAGACTGATGTCAAGTTTTGCCCGCTTTTGACTTGTTCCGCTCTAAAATTCATCGTCTGAGCTGAGCAGCAGCGTTTTCTCTGTGTCCCCGCGGCCGCTGACAGCACTGTGGGCGCGGGAGACTGGCGGTGGCGCCCCCTGCTCCAGCGTGGACTGCTGGGTGTACTGCTGGTAGGCCGGGGAGAAGTTGTGGATGGCGTCCTGGACCATGTCGCCCGGGTTCATTGTCTCCTTCAGGCTGCTGGAGATGCTCTTCATGGGGGCGCAGCGGCCTGCGGGAGAGCCATAAAAAAGGAGGGTTAGAGGCCAAAAGCTGGGGTGAAAAATAGAGAGACTGGATGCAAGTGAAAAAAAAGAAAAGGAAGGACGGTGGGAGGATAAACATCAAAAGAAAGTGGATTTATAATGTTTAAGCACAGGGAGAGAGAGAGAGAAGGGAAAGGAAGAGAGATAAAAGAGTCAAAAACAGAAAGAGATTTAAGACAAGGGGATAGTCTCGGAGAAAAAGGAAAAGGGCATCAGTGATTTAAAGGATGTAAAAAGAAGGAATGAGTGGGGGAAAGGGGGGGGGAGCAATTGTACAAGGGCAGTGGATGAGATTTAGAGAGGAGGCAAGAAAAGGGGGTTCAGAGTGATTTAAAGGGAAGTAAAACGGGGAGAACTGCATAAAGGGAGAAAGGTTGGGGGGTTGCTTTAGGAAATGTCAGCACAAGAACCAAAACTGAATTGAAATATGAGATTTTAAAAATAAAAGAGAGAGAGAACAGAAACTGCTGGCTTAATGCAGCTTAATAAATCAAAATAGAAATAGCAGCAGTGTGAAAACGCACAAGGGCGGTGTTCAACCTACCAAACTGTCCATATGTAGGAACAGGTCCTTTAGAGTGCAGCAGAGAGGAGAAGATAAAAAAGAAGATAGATATGTAGAAACAGGCAAGTAGAAAACGACAAGTGGGATATCAGGAGGTGAAAAATAAAGGCGAAGACAAAAACTTAAGGAAGTAGTAAAAAAAAAAATGAAAAAAAAATGGGGCATGAATGAGGAAATATGCATTGAAACGAATGGAAATGAGATGGAGGACAGACACGAAGTGAAAGACTTTTTGAATTCTTTTTTAAGACGGTAAACATTTACGACAGATGTGTTAAACCCCGCTGTTTCCTTCCTCTCTTCTTCCCTCGCCTTCCTTCTCACCTGTTAAATCGAGACTTTTGTCCTTGTACACGCTGTATGTGAAAGCGTGCCGCAGAGCCAGTGCCGCGAAAAACATCTCGATGCATATGATGAAGTTCTGGTAACCGGCGGCGACCGTACCCTCACCGACGGACACTTCCACTGAGTTGATCTGAGGGATGGCACCGCATTTCTCCAGGATGGCCAGCAGCATGCCTGACCACAAATAAATAAGCACAGGAAGCTGTCACTCCACCTGTTTTCATAACAAACGTCGTGTGGCGTCTTTTGCCGCGCTGACCTACCCTGCCAGAAGGAGAGGAAGATGACCGACTTGACCATGAAAAACTTGAGCATGGGGCTGTAAGGGCTCAGCAGCTCCCTGGTGGCGAAGTAGAACAGGAAGAGGGCGTACAGCGACAAGCTGACGGAGATATTGTAGATGATGGTCACGTACAGGTAACCGCTGGCAACACTGCAGAGTGAAGGTCAGATAAAACTGCATTAATGGTGCTGGTTTGTGTTTGGGGTTAGTTCTGACTACCTTTTGTGATTATTGAAAGCTCCCATTAGAGATGAAAGTCTGAAGCGTTCAATTAATCTAGAAATTAAAGTGGTAATCCTCATTTTGTGGAAGCTGTGAAACGCGTAAAAACGCCTGGATTCTCACAGATATACACCACCAAGTACACCACCAGCAACCTTCCTGTCTGCAGCACTTACTTAAAGTCTCCATCCTTGTATTTGCCGTAGGCCTGCAGGATGACGGTGATGACAGCCATGAGCGGTTTGACTACACAGAATTGCAAAGTGGCCTGCTTGCAAAATCGCAAGAAGCCAATGGAGTAGGCCTTTCCCCTCAGACAGCAGGTACCATACATACAGCTGGACCTGATGGAACCAAACATCAGGAAAAAGGAAAACATGTTGAGCAATAGTTTGTATTTTTTACAAAGAGTCCATGCCATGAAAACAAATACTGTTTAAAGCGGACTTATTATGGCTACACCATGGGTGGCTCAGTGGTTAGCACTGTCGCCTCACAGGAAGACGAGGTCCGGCTAAAGCCTTTCTGTGTGCAGACTGCATGTTCTCACCAGTTTCACTACCTTTTTTGAAAGGTGTTTTTCAGCTGCATAATTTCATTCTTGGACTTGACTAGAGCAGCCTCGGTGGGGCCCGTCTGTTAACTGTCTGGCTGAACAAGCTGTTGCAGGACAACTTTCTGCTGATTGGCTGCTCCTCATACACAGCAGTAAAAAACATCAACATCTGAAATGCAGCATTTAGAGTCTGAAGCCTGAGCTTTTAGGGACTTAAAGGGATTATTTGTAAAAACAGACCTGATAATTTTAAACTTTGCCCATGTTTAATACAAGTTCACACCAGCAGAACAAAAGGAAAGCCTTTTAGGCTGAACTTACTCTATCGGTTTTCCTCTGATCTCAGCCATGATGGCGCTTTCTCCTCCCAAGTATTCGTAACACAGACTCAGGAAGTTGTAAATAACAAATGCTGAAGAGACACAGGGGGAGAAAAAGAGCTGATTTGATTATAATCGCTACATATGTGATAGTTTTGGTTTGTTATTTGATCGTTGCTTACAGTAAATGGTGTTTCTGGAAAAGCTCTTTTCAGACCACTGTAGGAAACTTGAAATAAATGATGGGTTCATTGACACATTCAAGTCTCCCAGAAGCCATGACAGCGTGACAGTGAACCAACATGCACGATACCAGGAATTCTAAGGACCGCAGCTAAATGGAAATGAGCCATCATTCAATCAATTTTACAATTGATTTTCTAAGTCTGTGTTGTCCTCTGTGACTGGAGCCTGTTCACTGAAACTGTTAATGTCACAACAAACATATTAAGACTTTCTAAACATGTTTGGTTACAGAATTGTCTCCATTTGTTTTACATGTATATAAACAACTAAACATTTCACAACACTGGGTTCAAATTGTCAGAAAATAGCCCATATTTTTTATAGCTGACTGAAAAAAAATACAGCAGTAACTCACTCGATTACTCACAGACCTCCCAGCAGTCACACAATAACAAACACATCACTTCCTGTCACATTTGTTTTATCATGCGGATGGAAATATACAGCACAATTCAAACTGAGGCGCAGCTCAAAAACAACAGCTGACCACACATGAGGTAATTATATGAAATAATTTTTATACTGTCATAGGGACATAAGGCATAATAATATTTCACTGTAACAAAAGGGAAACCAGCTGTTTATAAATGTGTACTAAAGCATGACCTTCACACACAATCACAAGCATGCTTATATTTAGTATAAGAAAGCAACAGCTACTTATGTCCAAATCAAATCTAGTGCTGCTCTACTCAATGCAAAAACACATGGACATAATTCACGTAATCTGACAAGACTTGACCTTCAATTTTAATATCCAAAGAATTAACTAAACTTGTATTTCTTTCATTAGCTAATAAATGTTCAGCCACCTATTTTCTCTCCTCTGTGCTGCTTCAGTGAGAAGGTGTTCCAGATCAGGAGGCTCATAAAAAACACAACAGTGCTAATCCCGTTAACCCCCGAGGACCTTCCAGTCCTGCGTGCATACGCGCACTCTCGCAGGGGTGTGTTTGAATGCATGCAAGGTAAATCCGCTCTTGCATAACTTTTGTGAACTAAATGCATAAGATGAAAATGAATTAAACAGAATCCAAATAAAGGAGGGTAGTGATTGTGCATCAGTTCATTGTAAAGTGTGAAAATGTAACATATCCTGGGTGTGTGTCATGTTTGTGCATGGGAGGTTCACAAAAGCACAGTGCACGTGCAAGCATCGTGCCATAGCACAGAAGTCTCTGTACTGCTGACAGTGACTATAGTTCATCAGCTCTTTGCAGCTGTGTTATTTCTGCATATTTTCTTGCTCTGTTTTTAAACTCCACCCAAACCCTCTCTACAACTTTCCCACTGCCTTCTATCTGACGTCAGATGTCTGTCAGACAGTACTCAGGTAATAAGATGCCACACATGCCAAACACAAAAAGCTCGTCCACAGAGCTGAGTGATGAGAACTGGTTCATCTGCTTCCAGCAGCTCTCCTTGTGTCTTGGCTGTTTACCATTATGTTCTTTCACTTTTCCCCAAGGACTCCCGCCTGCAAGCGCCAGTTGCCACGGTGATACAGTAGGCCTACATACAGTGAGAACAGTAGGAGCAAGTTTGCAGCAAGTTTGGTTGAGGTAAACTCATTATCTGATGCAGCCAATCTGGTTGATGAGGGAGATTTGTGAGCGTGGTTGCCATGCAACAAGTCGGTCCTCGCCGAGGAAAAGGACTCAGCGGCATTATAGGAAGATGACGGCTGATGAGAGGATGAAGAGAAATGAAAAAGGGAGTGAAGACTTGGGCTACAGCGCGGAGACGGAGGAGGTGAGCCATATGTATGACAAAGCAATATGACGAACATAACGCTTCCTGCCAAAAGCAGAACCAAACATAGCGATTCCCTTCAGCTCACATTCAAAAGCATGTGACGTCATCGGTTCGCCAACACAGGACACGACACGTGAGCCCAGCGTCACAATAAGAAGATCATTTTTAGCTTTATCGTGACAACTAAACTCAGAGACTGAGGGGTGGAGGCAGTCGACTTCCTTTCACCATCTTCTGCCAATTCCTGACTTTAATAGCGCGGGATACAACATGTCGGTTGGAATGTGTTTTGTTTGAGTCACCATTGGCCGAGAAGCCGCCAACCCACCATCTCCGTTAACCAAAAAAACAAAAAGAGCCCAGATTTTTTTATTAAATCCATTTTTAGTGATTAAACTCATCCTGTCTCTACTGAGATTGGAGTCGTGTTTCCTCTCAGAGCCAGTTTTCTAAATCCAACCAGAGAATTATGCCCAAATCAAATGGCTGAGACAGAGCCAAAATATAATGCAGAAAAGGCAAGAATCTAATAAGTGTGAGAGGGTCCTTTATAAAATAAGTATTGACTTGTAGTGGTAGATAATCTGTTAAGGATGACAGAGCAGACTATTCATTTCCACTCTAATCGGACCACAATGTGTTTCAGCAACTCAACTGGAAAAGCTGCCTGCAAAGACGTGAAAAGGATTTAAATCAGAGAGTTCTGTTAATGGGATACAAATGACCTAGTGGGTCATGAGAGCTCAGAGTTTTAGCTTGACATTGATGAGATAAAATCAACAGCACGTCCTCACCTTCATAGCAGTCTCTGACGGTGTCAAAGTAAACATAGTACTGGTCATTGGTGAAGAACAGTAGGCTGAGCCAGGAGTCAAAGGCATAGATGGGAACGATGAAGAGGATCCGTACGATATGGCGCTGCTCCCTGGGCGAGCTGTAGAAACGCAGGTGCATGTAGATCTAGGAGAGAAGGAAGAGACTTTCTGAACACTGGCAGGTTTTTACAATGACTCACAAGTCTACTTTAATGGGCATGGAGGATTTCACAGGAAGTGAGCACAGAGTCCTTACAACTCAGGATGGAGCAGAGGTTTTATGAGCATCATCTGCCGTTGTGTAGATCCTCCATTCAGATTTTTTTATTATAAGTCATTTATGCCTTTTTTCTATCTTGTGAGTTGGTCCATGTCACTGACCTCACTAATCAATACATCCCCTGAGCTCAACTCACAGGAATGTGATTTTATAAACCCCTTTCAACGTTTTAAAGTATCTGTGTGTGTGTGTATTCATGCTCTGTGTCACAAACACCTGCCGCGGGATGTTGCCCGGCAACTTCTCTCGGCCTGAGGATGTTTGCTGGATCACATCACCTGCGCATTAAACAAACACACCTGTCTGTCTTTTTCGTGAGCACATCCATCACAACAGACCGTCTGCTCGGTCAAACACCAACACATGCACTTCCAGCAGAGCACAATATATTATAGTAAAAGTAGAACTGAACAGCACACATATCTCTCTTGATGCTACTGGGAAACAAGCAGGAGCCCATAGAGATAAGTGCTGAGCCAATGTGCAAGTGCCAAAAGCTGCAGTCCCCATAATGGCCACCTGTGATTGGATCCCAACTTTGCACCATTAAGGACCTGCTCACAACCTGGTGCAATAACGGTCTTCATCTCTATAGACAATTAACATTCTTATAAAAAGTACTGAGATATTTTTTGTTATATAACTCACCTTTTTAAACTTTATTAAGGCTTCAACTATTGTGGTCAATTTGGAAGCTGACACATGCAGCTGGTGTCTTATATCTTGCTAGCTCTCAAAGTCATAACTGTTTTTGTATAAATAATATTGAATACTTGATATCCAAGATGTCTGTTCTCCTTTTGTTGTAAATGAAACTTTAACATTATTAGTCTGTTACTTAGCACTAATTATCAGCTAACTGAGTATCTGCAAAGTATCTCTACAGTGTCTGGGTGCAGCTTACTGATCTAAGCCTGCTATTGCTAGCTTAGGTGATAAATAAGCACTCCACCCTCACGTGAAATCAAAATATGGCCCCTGCAAGTTCCAGAAATCAAATATGACAGGTCAAATTTAAAACCTGGGGTGGTCATCTTTTATATAAAGTCTACACCAGGAGGCTGTTACCTGGTGACAGGTGAGGATTAGTGCAGTCCAGACGAAGAAGCCAGACACAGCCTGCGTCGCTGGAGTCATCAGAAAGATAGGTGGATCCGAGCTGAGAAGAGGGGCATCAGGAAGCCATGAAATATTGGGGCCCATCGGAGCTGCCGTGGGTGGGGGGCCAGGTGCCGGAACAAGCGGAGAGTCCTCCCCCAGCCTCTCTGAGAGTGGCACGTCTCGCCTCCACAGTTTTAACATCTGGAAGTGACGTAGACACTGGTAAAACATTCACATCACAAACTGGAAAGAATAAAAGGAACATCAGAGCTGTCGAAACTCTTCTCCAACAGTGATCACACTGTGATCTAATCCATGAAGTATGAAGAGTCACCAGTAATCATCAACCTGAAATGTCGATGTCGTGTTATCAGTGTAATGTGTAATCTGTGATAAGAGGAGATTTCAGAATAAATGCAGACAAACTCTAGGTCAAAATATCTTCACTCTGAGTAAAGAATGTGTGTGGACTGTTTGCTCATGGGCACCCACATTCAACTCAATGTAAAACAATGTCTAACAGCAACATTTTAACTCTGGTTTTTAAGCTAACAGACAGCAAAGCCGTCAGGTATCATCCATTCAGGCCTTTCACGGCTCAAAACGTAAGAAGATGCTTTTTGAACAGAAAGACTAGCAGCAAAACATGACGTTTAAAGACAATTGTTTTTAGTTTCTGCATTTCTCTGCAATGTAACTGCACACTCAGAATAAAGTCCTGATGATGTGGACCCTGGACTTTATAACAACACCGAATGGGCCTAAAATAATTTGTTAAAGTTTATAATGTCACACCTTAGGGTGCATTTTCTTCATGTATGATCAGTGAGCTGAACAAGAACCACTTTCAGCCAGAGGAAATTTAGATAGAGACAAAAGATTTTAAGTCAAGCGGCCCTATCGACAGCTCCTGATGATGGGGACAGCTGCTCGCTGACTGTGACGAACAATGGGAATGTTCTCGGGGTGTCCGTGTTCTTGCTCACGTCACTGTTGACAGAACCAGGGGCAATAAATAAAAAGAGCAGGCGTGAGTGCTAACCTTCAGTGTCACTAATCATGCTGTCTGTCAGAGCAGCACATGAAACAAACAGCACACAAGCTGACATAATGACACCTACTCCTCCTCCCACACACACACACACACACACACATCAGCAGTCCTCCCATTTACTTTCTTAAAGTAAATGACATTAAAGTGTAACAACTGAATTTAGTGGGTTGATAAAATTAGGCTACTTATAGGTGTTTCTTTGGTGGCTAATATCTGTGTGTATGTGTGTGACAGCAGGCCATTTGTATTGGTTTGCAGGGGATCAGCATATGTCAACAAGAAGAAGTGAAGGCATCAGCAGCCACACATATAATACCAGGCACAGTGAAAAGATGCTCTGCTGAAGCAGAGGGCCATCTTTGTGTCTCATTTGAAAGGGGGGAAATAAATAAAAGGTCAGTCTATGCAGTCTCACACGCACAAGGGAATAATACAGGGAGAGGCAGGCGGTCAGGAAAACAAAGTAACAGATGGAAAGGGGCAATGGGGGGCAGACGGGGTGGGCTTATCATTAATGGTAGCCAGACTGGATCAGCAGGCGTACAAGCAACAACAACACAAACAGTTCAAAAACAAAAAGACGCTAAAACTCTGTGTGTGTATGCCTTTCAGTTACTCCAGTAATCATTTATTATGTTGCTGTGATTTATTCAAAGTGAATGAATTATAACGTTGAAATAAGAAAAATATTCATTTCAACAAGCTTTTATTTAAAAAGACTCACCTTTGCTAAATGTTAGCTACAACAATCCACAGCTGAACTTGAACTGTAAGCGTGAAACAGACACAGACTTTTATTATGCTAGCAATGAAGTAACAATTGAAGTTTTCTAGTTTGTTTTAAAGTCTAGACTCACCCGCTTATTTAAAACCGTCCTCAGCTCCGTCACACACACAAAAAAAAAATCTTCGGCTAGAAATAACCCACAAACGGCCTTAATTCCTTCTCAAAGCAGCACCGTTGCTCCCCGGACATCCATGTTGAGTCGTCGGTGGACCGCGCCGTTAACCCCTCAGCGTCTCACCCCAAAAACTCACCTCTAAAGTTTGTCTGTCATGTTACACAACTTCTACTCTATCTTTCTGTTGCTCCTATCTATTTATAACACCTAGCGTCCACCTAGTTTTGTCGGTGTTTCAGAAGTTAGTGCAGCAAAACCTGTCACTCTCCTCCGATCCCCTGTCTGCGCTCAAGCTCCAGCTCCAGTCCAATCCAATCCCTGTCGGATTAACTGCAGATCACACAGCCCCGCCTACTCCGCGAGGACGAGCCAACGCAGCCAATCACCTACCTTTTAATTACCCGGAAAGGGGCGCGGTCTGCCTACTTAACACTGAGCTTGCGCGGTTCTATTCTTGGTCCAGAGACCAGCAGCAGTGAGAGTGTGGGTGCTGCACAAACAAAGGTGCTCCCGCAAATTCAGTGAATGATTCATTATTCGTTTACAACTTCCTGTCCAAACTGTGTAGTCGATGTGTGGGAAACGGATACTGTGTAACGCCTTTATTTTACTTTTTCCGACCTTTGTCGGCTTTTCATAGCAGAAAAAGCACACGTCTAACTTAACTGCATTAGTAATGGCTAGTGAGTTACCATTTAAGTGCACCAGTTAGCAGTTATTAAAAAACACTTTCATCGCAGTACCATTAATATAATCAAAAAAAAAAAGTTCAATAAATAAACAAATATTTTCAAAATGGCACCCTACAGGTTATTATTTCCACATTTGACACCCCGTCATAGACCTTCATTATCAAGGCCTGGGAATTTTAACAACATTCATTTGGTAACACAGAAGGTCTGGCTGAAGTCCTCAAGTTTATTTTGACTGCCAACATTACTTTTCATCTACAGTAATTCCTGTCTTCTTTATTACGAAATGAGTACAAAAGCTAAGAATTAGACCTGGAAGTAGAGCAAAAAGAAGGGGCCAGTAAGTGTTGATGTGGGGCTAGCATGCTTAATTTTCACGCAAGCTTGACATTTAGACGGAGCTACACAAACATGGAAATACATGACAGACTGGGGAGACAATTAAGGATGAAACACAGAGAGAAGAGCATGGAAACAAGTAAGGGAGACATAACTGAGATGAGGAAGACTTCCACAGGAGACACTAAGGACAAGACACAAAAAAGGAAAAGCTAAAAACCCTCAAAACATTAAACAAGCAAGATGCACAGGTCCAAAACAATCAAAGACCCAGAACTAGAGAGGCCCAGAACTCTGTACCATGCCTCTCTCCAAGTGACAGCTGGAATAGGCTCCAGCTCTGAATCATTTTATAAGAGACAATATAAACAGTGTTGTTCAAACGTCTAAGACCATAGGGGACATCTGTCATGTTGAATAGAAACGAGTGATAATATTAGCTACAAAAAAACGTGATATTTATTGTCTGGTACACTTTCCTTTTGTTTTAATAATAACTTTATGTAGAAGCTGACAACCCGTGTTATCCCAACATGATTCGACAGTGTTCCAAAGAGCCTCTGGTGATGTCATGGGTGCTTAACTTTTACAGCCTTCACCTCCAAAAAAATGACCAGGTGGATATGGAGGAGAGTCCACGAAAGTCAGCACTCTGTGGATTATTTTGGTCTTTTGTAAGCCCGGAAGCCCGGTAGGATGTTAGCTGGGCACAAACGGTGCCGAAAGGTCTTATAAGAGACAGGGCTTAGATGGATAAGAAGTACAACAAGATGTCCAAAACTGAGCCACTAGAAATGGCCTATAGCTCTGGCTCTATTAAAAACAAATCAGAGAAGCAGAGCCCAAAAGAATAAATGTCCTGTTCTCCAAAGACACATCCAGGGTGTAGTCCCAGCTGGAAGGACAGAACCCCCTAGAGTAGTAGTGTCCAACTCCAGGCCTGAAGGGCCGGTGTCCTGCAGGTTTTAGATGTGTCCTTGATCCAACGCAGCTGATTTAAATGGCTAAATTACCTCCTCAACGTGTCTTGAAGTTCTCCTGTTATGAACTAATCATTTGATTCAGGTGTGTAGACCCAGGGTGAGATCTAAAAAATGTAGGACACCGGCCCTTGAGGCCTGGAGTTGGACACCCCTGCCCTAGAGTAATATCAAAAGGGCATCTCGAAGAAAGACGCATCAAATAAATAAATAATTCAAAGCTGTTCTTTGGATGATGTTGGCTGTCTTTTGTTCTGGTTCCACACTGTTTGGCAGACCTGTTGCCACTGATTTTCATTCCAATTTTTTGTGCAATTCGGAATAACTCAGTCTTTTTCTCCCTGTTTCTCTTGCTTAAGAGCAACTTCTCGACACCCACCCTTCCACTGAGACCATTTCTGATGAGGCTTCAGTGAACAGCAGATGGATCAACTGAAGGGCCAGATGGATCTCTCAGGTTCTGTGTCAAGTCTTTGCTATATTCTTTCCTATTTCTTAAAAAGATGGCATTTGAATATTGTCCACCACACACAGGTTTTCTGGAATCACTTTATTCGTGCAGAAATACTATTTTATGCCTATCAAACTGTGTTATCTTTGGCATCTTTTGAGTATTCTTCAAGTTCAAATTCCAGTTTCAAATTGGTTCAAGTCTTGTGCCTAATTTATACTTAAATGATTCACGTATCAGCATTAAGTAGCTTAAAAACAGATAACACTTCTCTGGTCAGATAAAGGAACTACTGGAAGTAAATTTTAAAGAAATCTTTAGACTTTTGTACAGCATTTGTATTCTGAGATCAGTTATGAATATGAATATTTAAGTATGTTTCCATCAAGAGAAAGATATCATTAGAAGTTTGTATAAGGTGTGTATATTTTTTATTGAATCAGAAAATATACACAAATATCATATTAATAAAGTTGAAGCATGGTAAAGAAATGTACAGGACATCAGTCATCATCCTCTAATCAGAGACCTCCATCCATCCTGACAGGCCTGGGTTAAAATACCGATGAGTACATTTTATATTATAACAAGAACCTTTCTGTCATTGCCTGCCTCAGTGCAAACCAAAACAAACGCGAGGCAGACTCTAAAGGTTTCCGGTAAAGTTTCACTTTCTGTCCCAGGTGTGTCAGGAGGTACTCTTCTCTCCAGCTCCGTCTTTAAACAATCTGTCACATTCTGGCAAAAGTATGTACACATTTTACATGTCATATAAAATGGGACAAAAGCAAACGTAAAGAAAAATACAAATGTAACACCAGACTTGCTCACCACCAAGATCTTACAACTTTCTCGAGTCTCTTCATGCCTGGAGTTGCAAGCTGGACTAAGGCTTCATCATATCATACAATCCACGTTATATCCCGATCTCTGCTCGCGGCAGTCTTTTTGCACTTTTCACATTCAGTAATGTTTTCAGTCTTCCTTAGGTAAGACTGTAACAAATGTGCTGAAAAATAGGAACTCCTAACAGGTTTTACAGCCTCCCTCTTCCTCACAACTAGCTTTCCTTTCTTCTGGCTCTCTAAAGCAAAGCTGAAGGCAAAACGAACGATTAGGACAATAACACAGACAGACACGTTTACTGACGAAAAGCAGCCTCGCTCCCATTTATCCCCTTCCTCTGTTCCTCTCGGTGGTCCACGTTAAAGCAATCGCCTGGCTCGCCTCTCGTAGGCCTGGATACACTTTTGTTTTGCATTTGTCTCCATGTTTCCTTTTTTTTTTTTTAAAGATATCTATTAATAATAAAGAATACCACAAGCAGCAGATGTAGCTCGCAAACATTAGCAGATTGATAGTTGTTGATTTTATCACAGGTGTAGACCACAAAATAATTGACTTAGTCCATTTTGTGCACTTTGATGGTTTATTTTATGCGAGTTGAGTTGAGCCTCTGAATTGACCGAGTCGACCCCCGTCCGGCAACACTCTCTGAAAAGCAGTATCAAACGGTTCCAGCCTAGAGTTCGTCTGTCCCACTGGTTTTCCATCATCTCAGCAAGCTTTAACACTGGGCATGCTCACACCGCATACTGACAGACACACGGACGATCGATCCCCCTTTAAGGGCCTGTAATGCTTTCTCCTCCTGCAGTCACTCATGTTTTCATTCATCCATTTGAAAAGTAAGGGGTATTTGATACCCTGCAGCTGCTGAACCGCAAGAGAAAAAAAGAAGAACAAAACAGGAAAATGTTAGTCTTTAAAAGATGAAGATTTTCAGCTGATCACTCTGTGCTGCTTCTGTTTTGTAGCCTTAGTCAAATTGTAGTCCACCCGTTTATATGCCTGCTAAGTGCTGTTGTACTGCGCTACTGCTACCATTAATACTACTTAAATTCTGTTTAGAGTAAATATATTAAGTCTGCTTTTGCAGCATTTCAATTTTAAAAGAAATTTAATGACAAATGTCTTATGTTACCCTTTCCTGCATTTATAAAGTCAACTGGGATGTCATAGAGCAGTGCCATAAAACAAGTCATCAAATTTATTTGTGTCATCTGTGTGCATTTTTCCCTCTGAGCAGTTTTACTACTTCCCTCGCACCCTGCTGCACCCATACACTGTATATAAAAGATGGATCTGGTTTACAGGACTGAAAACTGAAGTTAGTTTAAAAAAAACAAACAGCTGCAATCTTTTTAATTGACCAGAAGGTGGCCGACTCCATCCATCCACCCATTTATGCTCGCCGTTCACCCCGTAGCATGGTGCTGTGTGACGAATCTGTGACGAAACTGATGTCACATTGTCTGTGCTGATTCTGGTTGGTCATGCATCTTTCAATTTTTAACTTGGAGTGCACAGTTGTGTCTGTTTTTACTGCTATTTTAATGCCAAATCAGTGCAGAAGCTCATTGACAGATTCCACAGGGGTAGAAAACAACAGACTGTGCAATGTCTTTGACTCCAGGTTTGACTTCTTCTCTTCCTATATCAGCGCTGATGTTTTGTTGATAGTGTCTTAGTGGTGACAGCTATTGCTCGGGAGAATACTGCAGCACCTGCCTGTATCTTAATGAAGACCAGAAAACCAGGGTACGTTTTACAGTGTGGCTGCACTCTTTTGACAAGTTGGTACCGTGTGAGCGTGTAGGGTGACTCGTGACAATCTATTTTCAAACTACACTATCCCTTTGATGGGGATGGGAGCTTGTACAGCTCAAAAGCAAGGATTTTTTTTTTTTTAGATAAAAGAAACGCTGTCTGTGTGAGTATGTGTCAGACATGTCCTCACCTGCCACTGACTTGCAGGCCAGGGAGAAGGAACTCACTTTGCCAGGTGTTCAAATGGCACACTGACCTGAGTAAGGAGGGAAAACGAGATGATTAAAACAAGGCAAAAGCTAAAAAATAAAGAAAAGAGACTTTCTGCGCCTAAACTACGCGAGCCGTCTTCGAGTTTAATTTAAGCAGACGGCCTTCATAGAGTTTGGATCATTTTATTCACTGCAGCAAACAAAGCACAGACACTGAAAAAAACCTGAAGTGCCTACTTATTACCTGTCAAGATCATAGGATAGTCTGGACAATTAAGTTCCTTGTTTTATATACAAGTACATTATAAAATATTCAGTCAGTGAACAAAGTCATATTTTATCCATTTGAATTTCAGGTTTGGTTCATGTAAGAATCTTTAAAGAGCTCAGAGTGGTCAATCAGGTTGTCTGCTGTCACTGCTACAGGATGTAGGCACTGAAGGAAGGCCTTGGAGAATTAATCTGCCTTCATATCATATTTGACTTTAAGCTCCACAGTAACAAAAACTCTTCGTATGCATGTTTTGGTGGTAATTATAAGTAGATTAATGATGACTATTTTCCTGCTTCCAGTATTTCAGATATGCATCACTAGTTAGAGCAGAGTGCCAAGTATAATGAGAAAATGCAGTAATCTAAGTTAGTGCAAACTCTTCTCATCCACTTTCTCCACCAAAAAGAAGAAATAAGGAAAAAAAATTGTTTCAAAAGAGCAAAGAGTGACACCTGCTGCAGATTATTTGTGGTCAAGTTTCATAAAGTTCCCTGTAGTTCCTGTGTGCTAAACATGCCTGCATAACATGTGAGGTTCTCTGTCTTAGTTTACTGCATTCAGTTATATTTATATAGCACCAAATCACAACAACAGCCAGCTCAAAGCACTTTAGATGACGAGGTATAAACCCTACAATAATACAGAGAAAACCCCAACAATCAGACCGCCCCTTATGAGAAAGCACTTGGCGACAGTGGGAATGAAAAACTCCCTTTTAACAGGAAGAAACCTCCAGCAGAACCAGGCTCGAGGAGGGGCAGCCATCTGCTGCATGTGAGGTGATGTCTGAATATCCATCACCAGTCCTGAGTGTATAGAACGACACAGTGCTAATCTTCCTACCTGTGATGTGGTGATGCGTGATTGGTCGAGGCGTGCAGTGAGATCGGAGGAGGAGACATTAGCCGGGGCCCCGCGATGAAGCCTCATGGCCACCTTCCTCTCTCGCTCAGCTCGCTCTGCTCTCCCAGCCTGAGGAGAGCGATTACCTGTGTGAGCACACAGAAGCACACACTTAAAATGAAAATCTGAACTCTGCTGCTGCCCTCCAACACCCAGAAGAAAGCAACACCCTAACCTGACTGCTGGACCCCACGCGTAGCTGGGTTAGGAGGAGCAGCGTCTGCCTCGTTCCTCACTCTGTTGGCTGCAGAAGGGTTTGGACCCGGTGGCAAAGCTCGACCTCCCGCTCCTCTTTGGCCTCCTCCTGGTCTTTCCTCTCCATCTTTCCCCTCTCTCCTCTCCCTTTCGCCATCGTCTGTTGTCCTGCCGGCCCCCTGAGACACAAAGGAATAGCATAGATGAGAAAGTCTGCTAGAAAAGGGATAAATCTTCCAAGTCCAAGTGCGACACGCACAAACTTCAGCATGTTCCAGTCAAAGACATAGTCGTAGGAGAAGCCTTGTCGGTGGAAAAGGTTCCTGAAGAGCTGCCTTAGATAAGAGTAGTCTGGCTTGTCATCAAACCGTAGGGAGCGACACAGGTTCAGATACGTGGAGAACTCAGCTGGGAAACATAGGAGACAGAAGATTTAGAGCAAAGTCAGATGAACAGTCTGACAGAAAAACTGCAAAAACCTCTTTACTGCACTCAAGAACACCACTCTAACAGCTACTCACATGGGTAACCTTTGCACAGCACCTCGATAGGGGTGGACATTTTCTTCTCACTGATACGTTCATACTTCTGCCGCTTGGTGGCAGCCTTGAGTCCTTGCCATGGCAGAGAGCCCAGGTTGAAGTACATGAGAACATAGCCCAGAGACTCCAGGTCATCACGTCTCGACTGCTCTGTGGAGAAAAAGACGGAGCAAAGTGACGAAAAGAGAGAAGAGAATGAAACAGCAGGAAATGTAGGGAAAGAAAGGAAAAAGCTACAGCTCTGAGAATCATGTCACAATTAATAAAAAGGAATCAGAAAAATCATATTGGGGTTCGCAGAACACACACAACAAGACAGATACGCAGGCCGTCTCCGCTGCCTTACCGATGCCCAGATGGGTGTTAATGGAGGCGTAGCGGGCGGTGCCGGTTAGGTTTTTATTCTCACGGTAAGGGATGTGCTGGTGTGTCCGGGCGTCACGGTATTTCTTGGCCAGGCCAAAATCGATGATGTAGACCAGGTTTCCCTTCTTCCCGAGCCCCATCAGGAAGTTATCGGGCTTCACGTCTCTGTGGATAAAGTTCTTGGAGTGGATGTACTCGATTCTGCTGATCTGAAGACAGACAAAGGGGGTCACTAGTTATCTTGTATGCTGAGGCACAGTTAACAAAAATTTCCTTTCATGAAGGTAAACGGACGAGTCTCAGTCTTGAGGAAGTGTTTTAAAAATGGTATGAAATTCTGACAAAGTACACAGAAGCTCTCATTTGAGCTCTTAACGTGATTAGTTACTACAGATGATAGGGTGCAAGGTGGAAAAAAAGATGCCCTGATGAGCTGTTAGGTTTTTTGTGGCCAGTCGGTCTCACCATCTGGTCTGCCAGCAGCAGGACTGTCTTCAGGCTGAACTTGCGGGAGCAGAAGTTGAACAGGTCCTCCAGACTGGGACCCAGCAGCTCCATCACCATGACGTTGTAGTCGCCTTCCGCTCCACACCACTTGATAGCCGGGATTCCCACTGTGGTGTGAGAAGGAGCAGAAATGTTAGGAAACCGAATCATTTGGAGTAAAGATTCTCACTCATATATCAACCTCTGCACATAAATAAAGCTTCATGTTATTTATCTTATGTCCGTCACTGTGTTATCACCAGCTTAGTGCAGCAGGACGATCATTACTCCCAGTGACCATAAAGACACTCAAATGCTCATTAATTGTATTTCAGTCAAAGATAGCTTTAGTTTCAATGCCTTTGTGTGCCCTGAAATGTCTTTCAAATTCACCATAATCTCTTTGCAATCATGGTTGATAGCTCTGAGCAGCCCTAAATACTCCTTAGTGACCCTAAAACTATTTACTACATCTCAGCAGACCGGTAGTAAAGCTTTCAAAGAGACCCTGAAATATTTCTCTGTACCTCCACCCTGCATCATTTTGTAGAATTTGCTCTCGATGTGGAGCTGTGGATGTTTGGTCTTCACACATTCCAGTTTAATGGCTACTTCCTCTCCTGTAGCAATGTTTGACCCTGATGAGAGAAACAGAGGTTAGATCAGAAGAACTTAAGTCTACAAACCCCCAAAACTGATGGCAATTGGCACTACTTGCTTAGATACTCACCGAGATAAATATCTCCAAAGGATCCACTCCCTATCTTCCTCCCAAGGCGGTACTTGTTCCCCACCCTCAACTCCATGGCTTCTGAGCTCTTCAACTTGCTGGAACGGTTCGACAGAATCACACAGACACACACACGCACAAAGCTGTCATCAGTCACCGGTGATCAATAGAGTGAAAGGACACTGGTGAAAAGACTGCAGACTTTAGAGTACAAGCGGTTAGGCCTTAGGCTGCTGTATCAGTGAAGGGAAACAGAACTGTAAGCCTGAGCAAAGTACAATGACGTAGTGCAGCCCGAGTTGAATCTCTGGAGCCAGGAGGGAAACTGTGGCACACATGTGGCCAAAGCGTCAAAGAGACACGACCTAATGAAACACCCCTGCTCCTGATGTGTGCCGAGGATGGTTGACAGTAAATTCCAGGCAACGATGTAGGCCAATAAAGTATTTATAAACTGCATGGAGCAAAAGAAAAGGTGAGAGTGAAGAAGAACAGAGCCTGTAGTTGTGTAACATGATTTATTAAGAACTGCAGGGGGTGGGGGGGAAATCTCTCTCTCTCACACACACACACTCTTCCCAAAGCACTTTAAAGGAGTCTTGATCCTGTGTACAAGTGATTTGCATAAACTTGCTATTTCTCACTGGGGTCCCCTCACAAAATTTGAATGAGTCATGTTTTCCTCATCCTGGCCCTAACTGTGTGCACAGCCCTGAAATAAGGACATAAAAGTGTGAGATGATGGAGACAAAGGTTACGCTTTTACAAGCCAGCCTGACATCGCATTAATCGCTGACTAAGTCCCCCCTTCCCCTTTCAGTCTTGACTGCATTGTAGACGAACCTCCACATACACACCGTGCACTGCTGCACACCGCCAAACCCTTTCCAGCAGGTTTCTCATGCTCGTTTTCTCTCTCAGCCTTCCAGGAGCTGCTGCTGCTGCTGCTGTGCTGCCAGCGTTACAAAACTGGGACCCACTATTGCAGCAAGAGACTGCAAAAACAGGCGAGACGTGGTATTTTCACCCAGCGTGCTGTTGCCCCAGATATCACAAAGCAAATGAGGAAGGCCGTGCATGCACAAAACCCCCGAAAACCCCACAAACCCAAACAAACAAATAAATAAACAACAACATACCGTTCATGTCTGGATGGCCATCAGATATGGTAATAATTCCCCATAACCGCACCCTCCACACAGGACCTCTGATCGAGCGCACCCCCTCGCCCACCCCAACACGACTATCTGGACTCTGTTTGGCTAACCCAAGCCCTCCCCCCTCCACGTCTCTCTCGCTCTCTCTCACACACACAGACATCTTCGCCAGCCAACATACACCCACCCGCCGACAACCATCACCACCATCCCTGCACCTTCTCACCGGCTTCGTGGTCGTCCGTCGTCTCACTCAGGACCCTGGACAGCGACGTACCGATGCAGCTTCGGACGGCTCATAGCCTCGGAGATGCGTGACCCAAACCCGAAGTGTCGACCAAAAAATTACCAGCTAATCCGAGACGACCCGAAGGTGGAGATGCGACTAGAGGAAGCTCCGTAGAGTCACGTTTATTTAATGGAAAAAAAATCTGAAACTAGACACCGAGGTCCTCCTCTTCCTCTCTCCTTTGGCTGCTCCTCTCCGTCTCCCCCTCACACCCAGCCCTCCCTCACTCTACACCATTGACAATATCAATGATGTCATGCACAGGCTTGCAGAGATGCCCGGATTGTCTTAAAGCAGCAGGGCTGCTGAGAGCTGCTGCTTGCAGGCATGAATGAAGCGCCCTGATGCCACCAGCTGCACTCTGATCTCCCCTCGCTCTCAGCAGACTCTAAAATTAAAGCACAATAGAGAAGTATAAGATGATCACCGCCCTGCGCCTGCTGGAGTAAGCTATGTGCCTGTGTATGGAGGACCGAAGCTGCCAGGATTAAAAAAATAAATAAATAAATAAAAAAATTAAAATATTAAAACTTAATAATAAAATATCTTTTCCGTTACTTCTATTATTCAGTTTTCTATTAATTATCCTATTTATTTATTTATTTGTGTTCCCATTAAATGTTTTTGCATATTAAGTTGCTCATTCGCTCTGTGATCCCACAATTTTACCCGCCCAAATAAAAGGTAAATAATTAATGATTGAAAGTCAGATGTGTACTTTATTAGGTACACCTGTCAGTTAGCACAAATAACTAATAATGACAGCAGGTCAATGCATTTAGTCATGAAGACATGCTGAATTTTAAACTGAGGATTAGGATGGAGGTTAAAGTGACTTTGGTGCAAGATGGTCAGAGCGTTTCAGAAACTGCTGATCTCTAGGGTTTACAGAGCATGGTCTGAAAAAAAAGAAAATATCCAGTGAGCAGCAGTTCTCTAGATGACAATGTTGTGTTGATATCAGGGTAGAATGGCTAGACTTTGAGCTCAAAGGTAGGCAGAAAGATTTCAAATAACCATATGCTATGCATGCATCTCTGAATGCGCAATACACATACACACAAAAGACCACGCCAGGTACCACTCCTGTCAGTTAGGAACAGGAAGACTAGGGTATCGATCAGAGCTGGACAACTAAAGACTGGAAAACAACTGGTGTTGTGAGTCTCAATTTCTGCTTCAACATTCAGACATGAGAGTCAGAATTTAGTGTAAACATGAAAGAATCAACCCATTTTGGCTTGTATCAGTGGATCACACTGGTGTGGTGTCCATCTACAGTGTACCCATCTTCTGATGGCTACTTCCAGCAGGATAAGGCACCACATCAGATCACCTCTAACCAATTTGGTTGACTGTACTCCACTCACCAGATTTCAATCCAACGGAGCATCTTTGGGAGGTGACGGGAAATCGTGGATATGCAGCTGACAAATCTTCAGTAGCTGTGCTATCATGATAATATGGACCAAAATCTGTGGAATGCTTCCAGCACCTTGTTGAATTTGTGCCATGAAGAATTACGGCAGTTATGAAGGAAAAAGTGGATCAAACACAGTAGTAGGGAGATCTAACAAATAAAGTGTCTATTCCAGTGTTTTCACAGTTTTTATCATTTAGATTTTATTTACTACATTAAAAAAAAAAAAAAAGTATCAGGATGACATTCCTGTTTACTGAAGATTCATTTTATCAATTGAGAATCTAGCTAAAGAAAAAAATAGCTAAAATCGAATTGTTTTGATTACAGGGTTGACTAATGACCCAACATTTTGATGCCATCTGACATTTCACCCCTGGAAATGTCAACACTTCATTTTATCCTATTAAGACATTTGATAGTGAGATCATAACTGGCGTATGATTTAAGTCAAAAGATGTTTTGTGAGTTCAGTGATCATGACCTTTTTTTTTCTTTAAATGTTCCTTCCTATGTCAGAGAAAATCAATTTAGTTCATCAAATCTTAGACAAAAATCCTGAAAGCACAAATAACAGTCTATGCCACCCTCGACTTCTCAAGAAAACTACTCAGAGGCACAAAGTGAAAAAAAAGACAGTGCTTCAATTCAACCTTTATTATCTTGTTCTTTTCTGCTTTAAATTAATTTCCTCTCCTTTTATGTAACATCTGAAACAAAGGAAAACATCCTGAACAGGAGTGATAATAAAGACTGACTTAATTTAAACTGATACATAATAAAAAGAAACACAGTAAAACATAAAATGTCTTTAACGTGTCTGTAAAACACTGTTTCCAGCTCAGCTTGGTATGGTAAGATGTGGCATCTTAATAAAAATGCCTTCGGTTGGTTGCTTCGTCTTAAAAACAAAATATTCTCTTATTGCATTTAAAAGAAAAATATATATAAACGGAAACAAAAAGCGACTAAAAACACAACTTAGGAGACAAATGCAATAGTGCCAATGTTTTTGAACTTTTTAGCTATCACAACATCCAGTCAAGCACGCAAAAATGTGTACACACACACACACACACACACACACACACACAGTCTTTCTCTCAAATGTAAGCTGTCAGATTTACATCTATTCACTTCCCTGACTGGAGAAGATCAGTGTTCAAAGGCAAGCACGCACGCACGCACGCACACACACATGAATCTCTCATGGACAAGAAAAAAGAAAAAAAGGAAAACAAACATTCAATGTTGCAGCAATAACACAGACACTCCCAATATAATTGTCATCATAATCACATCCTTCTCCATTCGGTCGTAACTGTCAACACTCAGTTCATGCACACACAGGCAGGCAGGAGGGCACCTTGTACAGCGAGTAAATATGTGATCATAGTCACCATTACATCATGACAATATATAATAACCAACTTGATTTCTTGAGTAAGAAAAAATACAATAGCGAGGTCAGTGTTTGAAGGGCAAATAAGAGGACATCTCTGGATTTCCACTGTTTTTTTCCACACATTTCTCATTTCTTCTAAAACAGAAAACAAACTGATAAACAACCAACGCACATCGACAAGGAGATACAATTTTGCTTGTCAAATATAAGAGCAGTGTGTAACTGATGAAAAGGTGTGATGACGCTGTTGACATGGAGGGTGGGTGGCCGCTGGGTGTTAGCCAAGGCCACTGCTGCTGTAACATTTAATTGTTCTTTAAGGTCTATGTAGTTGTGTTGTAGCTCTGTTTCAAACATGGAGGGATTTGTGGAAGGATGCGTCAACAACAAACCCAGAGGCATATAGTGCAAGTTTGGCTAATGTTGTTTTTTTGTTTTGTGTTTTTTCCACCCTGGGTCCCATAGTGATGGCATATTCCCACCAATGTAGACGTGTCGGTACCTACTAAAAAGACTCTTTCCTTTTGCGCATCTCAAACGTTGCTGATCGTCCATTTGACTCAGTAGTGTGGCGCTGTCCCAGATTTTTTATAACGTCCCGATCCTTCCCACTCTTAAGCTTCCAAAAGTGGGAACTCCGAAGTACGCCAGCCAGGTCTAAGAGGGCTCAGTCTGCATGTCTGACTTTTGAGATTTGACCATTAAATAGCAATATAAAATTAAAAAAAGTGGCACACTAAAAACAGCAATAGCTAAACTTGTTGACGTGTAGGACTCTGGCTGAGCCTGTCTACAGTGCATGCCTGAGTGATTGGGTCTCTGAATGCAGGTGTGTGGTCTGAAGTACAAAGACAAAGAGCTATCCAGTTACGTCCTAAAGAGTTTAATGGATTTCACCTTTTCCCCCCGGTTCAAGTTTTACTGTTGTCTTCATTTAAAGTTAGGCGGTTTAATGTCTGTGTGAAAGTAATGTGTGCATGTAGCTTGTGTGTAGTATGACTGTTGAGTGTCTATGTTGGATGACCAGTGTAGCTTTTTTTTCTCCACGTCAATGCAGAGCATGACGTGTTTCACCTTAGGTGTAAAACGTGTGTGTCAGCTGGCCCCTCAGATAGAGTCGGCCCCCCCGCCCAGGAGGTCCCCTGGAAGCAGCGAGGCGGGGCTGCCCATCTGGTGACGATCCTCAAGCGCCGGAGAAGCCCAGAGGCTACTGCTGGGGTACCCTGTCCCCCCCATCCCACCCACACTTCCCCACAGACCCTGCCTTCCGGCCTCCACACCTCCGGCCCCACCTATCCCGGTGCCGTTGGTGCTCCATTGGGTGAAAATGCCCAATCCGGGCCCCTGGGTGGCAGACTGGTCCGACGAGCTGCCTGTGCTTTCTAGACTTTGCCATGCAGAACTGGAAGACCCAGCTCCTCCATTTCCTGCCCCTCCGACTGTGGAAGCTCCATCTACTCCTCCTACCCCACCGTTTCCTCCTGCTCCACCTCTTTCACAGCTTCCTCCGTTACTGTTAGCCCCAACTATGGAGGCTGCTGTAGGCCCGGAGCCTTGGGAGCCGGCTGCAGCTCCTCCGCTTCCTGCTCCTCCAGCCTGGGAATGTGCAATGTAGCGAGCCACATCTTCCTCACTCATAAACTCCGCTAAGATGGTTGTGTTACCCAAAACACACCTGGGGTAAACAGAAAGTCCGTCATACACTTGTAATGAATGAAGGGCCTCAAAAGGCTTTTCAGCCTCAAAATGAACTGCAAACGAAAGTTTAACACTCAGTTTGTGATGTATAGTCTACACAACTGTGAAACACACAAAGTGAAACTATACCAGAATATGGTTTGCTACACATCACGTTTGCGAGCAAGTGAAAATGACTAGGCTTGTTCTTTCTGCAGGATCCAGATCACCTCTAAACTTCAGAACTTTATTGTAAAAACAACACTTAATGGTTTAACACTTTTCCAGGGATCAGTAACAGGGATCTTTGCAACTCTTGAAAGTCAAGCGTTATGATATTTTACAGAGAAAATGCTCAATTATGAAACAAACTAGGACAATATAATGCTGACCTTTAGATTTACTGGTAGATGGTTTTTTGTTGACGGTGAATAAAGGCAAGCTAGCCATTTGCTACCACTTCTAGTCAACATATTAAGCTAAGCCAAGATGCTACTTTAGTTTCTTTTACTTTAAGATTTACTTTAAAAAGATGTTATCAAAATAATTCCTTACATGTGAAGTGCACTCTGAGCCTTGGCTGCCTCTTGTCTGGAGCTGTAGCGAATCAGAGCAGTGCCCTGGGTCAGGCCAAGGTGAAAGGTCAACAACGGCCCGTGCTGCATGCAGATGGTTCTCAGAGTGGATCCATCAATCTGTAGTAAAAAAAACAAAACAAGCAGACGAAAGATCTTAAAAGGACAGTAATAGGTTAAGATGTCAAACAGACTGGGATTTTTAAATGTGCTATGTTTCAAGCACTGCCAAAATCAGGGGCAACCATGATGGACCTTCACTGCAGTTTCAGGCTGTCTAAGTAGATTCTGTTGGGCTGGCTATAGAGATAGGTGGTGATTTCTGCGGTTTATAGAGAATCATGTAAGTCTGGATAATAATCACAGGTCTGTTTGGTGTGTCACAAGCATTTAGCTCCAGCTAAGATAGCTTTGGGGATCACTAGACCTTACAAGGTGTGCTTCCACAACAGCACCACACCAAGAATTAAGGAAGGCAACAGAGATGGTGATCATGAGGCCTTTAAAAAAATATATATAAATAAATAAATAAATAAAACATTTGTTTAAAGATGCTTTTGGTGGTCAATACTGGACTCCATGTTCAGCAGAGAAATTTAGTTCAATTTTATTTATGCAGCGCCAAATCACAACTGTTGCCTCAAAGCACTTTAAGTTAAAGACTCTACAACAATACAGATTATTTAGAGGACTCAGTTCTACTTGTTCAGGCACATGATCAGGATTGGACGAGAGACCTCTCTGATCTGGCCTGGGAGTGGGAGTGCTAGAGATACCCCAAGAGGAGGTGGAGGAGGCTGCTTTAGCCTCAGCTCCCACTGCCGCTAATACAAATGTGAAATGGACTAATCAGTTTGGATTAATTAATAAATAGTTTTATTTGTTTTCTTCTCTGCATTTTGAGAAATTCTTTTTCTGCAGATCTGCCTGAATGTGTGTGTTTGTGTACCTGTGGCGTGAGGTTGCTGAGCACCAACCAGCAGGTTTCTCGAGAGCTGCCGTCACTCCAGGTCGAGCCTGCACAGAAAAGAAACCGAGGAGAAAAGTGGTCTTAGTAACAGGAGTCATCCATGGAGTGTCACTTTATTTTTCCTCCCAGTTTCTCAAAATAAATGATGAATAACTTTCCCACTGCATGAACTGAGCCTCACTTAATCTTCCAAATGAAATATAAATGGATTCTTTAGCTCAAAATAACACTTTCAGTAATCAAAGACATTTTTTTTTAATCTCCTGACTAAACATTTTTAAAAAATTACTGTGTTCAAAGACAAAACCAAAACAACATGAAAAATTAGTCACAGCGTTACCAGTGCTGTTCGAGCCACTACTCCAGCTGCGGGCAGCCAATCGAGGGGCTCCTCCTGACCAAGGGGAAGGCGATGGCTGCTTTTGACTGGCTAGGCCTGGAGGTGGGCGGGATAACTGGGTCTGGCTGCTGCCACGACTGGCTTTCCAAGACTTAGGTCCAATGGGCTCTGGGGGCCAGCTGGTCTTGTATTCTGTGTACTTTGCTGTAGGAGACAAAAGGACACAGGCAAGACGGAGACTTTAAAATATCTGCAGACAGTGGATTAATCTAAGGAGCAACACATATATTCCATATTCTTTTAACTGGTTCATTACAAAGCTACTCCCTGATGTCCATGGTTTTCCAGGACTAGAATTTTCTAACATATTTAAGTGCCGTCCAGATTTCACTGCAAATTATCCAAGTATCTGCAGAATAACATTTAAACCTGAATCTGTTAAAATTGTGACCTTCAAAGCAATCAAATCCAATTCAAATGTATATTGGAAATTCTTTCACTGCTTCATTTACTTTCTCTTCTTGTAGAGTTTATTAAAAACCCGACAATTCACTATTACCAGAAATTATGAAGTAAAAATACAAACGTAGATAAATTAACCAAAAGCCTAGAAGGAAGATGGTATATATTCATGTGTATGGTTACCTGAGTTGTGTGCGTTGTTGAGAGGACTGTCTGAGGCACTGTACGGCCAGGCACCAGGTGAAGGCAGCAAGGTGTTGAGAGGAGGGGTGGAATCTGCATACAAAGATAGTGAGAACCATAAAATGAATGATCATAAACGATGCAAAAACAGCCTCCATGGGTAACATATGTAGAGCTAAAGTTGCACCTTTCCAATGTCAAACTGCTTTTTATACATGCCAAGTGAACATCAGCAAAATCCAATGAAGATTAATTTTCTATTTCATGTCATAAAGCGCTGAATCACCACAAAAGTGACACTCATGACACTTTTTATACCAAAGTTACAACAACATCCTGGAAAAAACCCAGTGACTCTCTCTGACTATGAAATCAATCACAGTGGAGGAAAACAAAACCTTCCTTTTAAACCTTTAGGAAAGTCATTAGTTTCAGTTTTAAGCACTTGTTTCCAATTAGTCAGATAAGGGAAAACACAAGAGGGAAAAATCTGTGTCAGCAGGCTGCGACCAAGTTTACTGTGAAAACAAACCCACTTGCACTGGCAGTAAAAACACTGATCTATGTGAAAAAACTAAATTGAACGTTCTCATACCTGCTCAGTAATGCAGATGAGATGAAAAATATAATTTTGGACTGCGCCATTGTGCAAAAAGGAGCCACAACTCCCTGTTTATATCTTTACTTGGTAGCAAAATATGAGGAGTGGTATCCATAAGAGTATCGGGTGTCGACACGCAAATGCTAACCAGTATTGTCTTGTAACAATTGGTGCTCTGTATCATTGAGAGTGGGTGGCACTGTGTTTCCCATCATGCTCCCTGGGGTCATGTAGGGGTCAGACTCAGGGTCAACACGGTCAATTCCTTTCCATGGCACACCAGGCTGGAACTCTAAAGAAAAAACAAACATGTGGTCCGTTAAAGCCTGAAAAGCCTAAACTTTAACCCTACAGGCTTAAAGAGGACATGAAACAGCACAATTTAGTTGGTTTTACACGAAATTAAGAGTTGTTCTTTTTTTCTGTTCATAGTAAATTACAAGTGGTTAGCTTATTACAGAGGGGAAGAAAGACAAATTAACAGGTAGTTGGCAGAAGATGGCGCTGACAGATGATTTGACAAGTTACCTTTGACACCTTATGGTTTATGTTTTCAAGCCAGTAAGCATGAAAGACATTTATGACAAAAAATTGCTCAAATAACAATTGGTGCTATACGGAGGTGTAGAGAGGTTGAGAAACACCACCTTATACAGGTATGGTAACTGCACAGGGATGCCACCCTAGCTCTACCCACCCTTACCAGATGCTCTGCTGTGAGAGGGACATTTTGGGAGAAGCAACATGCTCGCTTTGTGAAGTCTGTGTGGAGACAGCCAACAGCAGGTACACTTATGCTAACAATAGCTTGGCTTTAGTTGAAGATGTCGAACTAAACTGACATTTTTTTTAAAAAGTTGCTCATTTTAAGCTGAAAATCACATCCACAGATGTTGTTTCAAGTGTTCAAAACTAGTATACCTGCTAGTTAGTAAGCTACTTTGCAAACTTGCAGTAATTGGCAATTAAGTCAGGAGCACAGACTCTAAAGTGACCATTGGGTAACCGCTATTAGTTAAACGGCTAAAGTCACATATAAGACTATTTTAAGACTTCGATTTTGTTGAAACAGAAGCTTTACTGTTCTCCTGAAATGTTGTTTGGTGTTGTGAATGTCATCTACTTTTCATGTGGACAGCTGGCAGTGACAGTGATGAAAATAAAATGTAACAAAATTAAGCATTGTGGTTATTCTTTTCACAATCATTTACTGAGTGTAGTCTATTAGAATCATGCTGAGTACAATGATCAAACTTATTTTTTTTGGCTTTTATTAATACTAATTAATTACTGTTTATAGCACTACCCGGCCATCTCCTTACAGCGCACAGCTAATTCTTGTGTTAGCTGGCCAGGTGGGACAATCTGTACACCTAACAAGGCAAAATTAAACAGAGGGGCCAGCCTTAGACTTCAGCTTGTTAGTCTGAGCCACCCTTTTCTGCACACAGTCCTCATTTATAAAGTGCTCTATAAACTCTAGCATGATGGCTAATGGGTAGATTCTCCCATTTCAGCTCAGCTGGCATCAACAAAGAACCACTTAAGAGAAAAGAGAAAAACTCATTGCTGTACTGAAGTGACCCCCTTAAAGTACTTTTTAGTTTTGGTTTCCTTGTTTTCCACTGGGTTAATGGTTCTGTCACTGTTTAGCTGACATAAACCAATGGTGGGCTATTAACAGCAACCAACCAACACAGTGATGTCACTGATGTCAAGATTTGCTCTAACAACTAACTTAAAACACTGAATTTTTAAATCTAGTTTCATAGACTGATAATGTATGACAGCTTTTTTTTTAAAGCAGGTGTCTATGATTAAAATGAGAGGTAATACATGTTGTGTTTCACGTCCTCGTTACATATAGTGCACAAATTTGATAATCATCATCTTGATTTAAGGTAGTCACTAACCAGGGGGCCAGCTTGGTGTGGAGGCAGGCTTGGCACACATCTTGTTGCCAGGGGTGCGATGCCAACTGTCACTCAGCCCTTCTCCAACCATCATGTCATACTGCGAATATGGTGAGCCCCCTGGCATCTTTATGGGGGTGACAGGACCTGGTAGGTAGGAAGAGAGCGATCACAGTAAGATGCGACTTCACAGCTAATCTTAACCCTTTCTGCCTGCACTATGAAATTACTTTCAAAAAAAGTTATAATCTCACCATTTTTATGAAACGCATTCTCAGATGAGGAAGTGTCTGGAGAACAGTTTCCCTCCATCATCCACTTGAAACGGGACTGCTGACCCCCTAGGTCCTTCATGGCTCCAGGCCCCCCCACCACAGAGCCACCCAGGTCCAGACCTGTAAGGTTCACCCCAGATCCAAACCCTGAAGAGAAATATTACAAAGGTTATTTTGTTTTAACACATATGTAGTAAAGTGAATCCACAG